ACGCATTGGAACTCGCGCATCGTATAAAATCACTGGAAAACGGTTAAATCACGATTGGCCCAGACGGTATTCGACCCAGATTTTATTAGAAACTCGCGGTTGAGCGATATTGCCCTATTTGTTAAAGATTATTCAATATTTGCCATTAATATGCAAGTTACCAGACGATTGGGAGCAGCGTATTAGTGGTTCAATTTTCCAAAAATGTGATTTAAACGAAAGTATGAATTATAACCTGATACCCTCACATCGATAGAAGAGCACAAAAATTTTTAAAATCTTGGTGAGCGCCATTTTTAAAGAATCTACGACTTTTTGCACAATGTGCAATTCACTTGGAATACAGGTATTCCTGCACTGACTGCAGCACCTCATCGCTATAAAACTTCTGTATTGGCGACAGTCAGGCTGTTCTGGAGCATCGCAGACGAGAGAGTCTGTGGCAATTCCTTCCACTCACCAAGACTAAGAGCACTGAGGGTTTAGTAGAGTAGGATACAAAAGTATCACCATCAATAATCGGAGTTAAATTCAATCATGTAACTTTAGTCATTTACGATATTTGCCCACCTCCCAAATTTGTTTCTCTGTATCTTTATAGCAAAATGTGATACTTCACTTTGAAAGCCACCTCTTATACCCACCAAAGCTAACTAACATGTTAATCTCAATTAAAACGACCTTGTACACACGTGACACCAAACATTGTTAATCACACATTGGAGTCCCATTCAGTGTCGTTTCGATTAAGTCTCTGAAATTTGTTTCCAATATTTTAGGATTTGTCCCCGTACTCCTGCATGAGGTGGTCTGGTCATGCACCGAAATATGTCAGAAAACTCCCTGAGTCTGTAAAAGATAATAGGAACACAATATAACGCAAACTGTCTACAGAACCGCTGCGTCAGAGAAACTGTCAACGCCTCTTTCGGATATTAACAAGCTAGTATAATTATCAACATGTAACCATAACAAGGTCTTTCTCTTCTAAATATTATGTTCATATTCATGTCGCCTTCTGTAGATGAAACCTTAAAGCAATTCAGGACAATTCAAAAATTTTCTTCCTTATTCTTAGTAGCTTCAGTTAAAAGACTAACAATTAATTTCTTAATATTCCAAAGCAACCTAATATTTCCTAAAGCGTAAAGCAAATTAAAGTAAGACTTATGTGTCACATGGTTAGACAAACTTCAGTTTTATAGTTAAAGACTTTAACAAATAGTTTACTAACAGTAAACAACATAACTTTCAACATTAAAACGACCAAGCTTAAATCAGTGCAACGTTTGATGTTGAGATTAACAAAGTAGATCGATTATATGTTGAACTAGAATGGAAGAATAACTCAGCTCAAATTAGCGTAATTACATTCTGAGTTAGAGAGATAGTGTTGCATTTGGCGATAACTAATAGAGGGGAACTGATTCGTGAGTCACAGACTTCTACTCCAGTTTGAATTAGCTTATCATATTTAAAACTCTAACTTCATCGACATCGTTCGCACGCTGAGGTGGA